TGTCAATGGACTTGGTTCTGGTTGGTTTTCTGTAACCTTCTAAAAGGTCATGCAGGCTGATAGTACCACATCTACATCTATTGAAAGACTATATCTTTGGGAATATCCCCACATCATAATTATAATTATTATCAGCATGGTACTTTAACCTACCTATGTGATGGTAACCTATACCCAGAATATGTTTGTCAGAGCCACGCATTGCCTGTGAGACATAGACTTTATCACTGTCTGTAATAACAAATATTACATGGGAAAATAAAAAGCTAATTTCACTGTGAGATGTTTAGGCCTGTGCCCAAGTTCAGAACTAATTGGTTTCATAATTCATTTCACATTGCTTGGAAAAAAATGATAAGATGAGAGAGAGGCTGCTGAACAGAACGTGCTGGAGCTCAGTTCCAGTGGCTGATCATTAAGAAACGCTGAGCCAACACCAGATCCACCAACATTATACATAGACACACAATGCTACACATAAAAGAAGCCCAAAAGCCATGATAAGTTTAAAAAGGGCTGCCCTGAAATTAACTCAAAATTGTGTTACTTTAATCAGAGTTCCGACTTCTTTTGGAGGAGCTAAAGAAAACAGCTCTTCAACACATTCCCTCTTCTGGTGTGAATGGAAAGTTAATTGACAAAGCATTGAAGTGAAGCACATCATTGTTCATTCGTAACAATGTGGGTGGAAGACATGAAGAGTTCATAGGAGAAGGTCCATGGGCCAATGTCTTTTTTTATTTCATTTTATTAAACAGGAAAAGGGAATTTCACTTGAGAGGAAAGATCAGGATGTCACAACACAAAGACAAATAATGCACATTTCATGGGAATGAAAAGGGGAACTTAATCTGATCATCTGAAAAGGTTCATCCTCCAGGTAGCATGAATTGACTTAGTAAAGTCCATGCCTGTATGTGCAATAAAACCTGATATTCCATTTGTGGACATGTTGACGTGACAGTGGCATAAGAGGAGAGACCACAGGGTCACTAGAATCATTAGGACCCTTTGAGAAGCATAACCATCCAGAATTAATTTCATGGTGTTTGCTTTTACAGGCACGAGTGAAATTCCAGTAGTGGGAATACTGTCACACATACTTGCTTATTTTTCAGTGGTTGCATGACTGAAAATGTGCCCCAGGTTTGCATGGCACATATTTCTCAGTCCTCTGCTAAACTCATAAGCCGTGAGCAAACTGCAGTTGGACGCTTCACGCATTTTCACCATAGCTGAACAAGACAAGGATTTGGAGGGGACGAATAACTGAAACCCGCAAGGGAAGTCGAGCTGTCAGGACATACAGGTGTAAGTTTAGTTTTGGTTTCATACCTGCCAGATGCTGTAGGTTACCAAATGTGAGTATAAACAGGACATCTCACTTCCTCAGGGGAACAAGACAAAGAAAACTGTGGTTGTCTGAAGTGAGATATAGACTCAGTGTTCCAGTGCATTAATTTTTAAGTGTTTAATTTATTTATGCTTCCCTTTTCGTACTCCCTGCTGCATACTCTATTGATGCAGAAGTTTGTAAGCAGCAGCAAACTAAACCTCAGTCTTCTGATTTCAGCCACTGAGATACTCTTGTCCAGCTTTGTGTTCTTGCGGCACATATACATTTTTAAACAACGGGCCCTTAATTTGATAAATAGTCAATTTTGCTGATGGAAATGACAGCTGCCACTGGCAGACTTTATCAGCTATAGCTGGCCGTTTAATTAAGGTAACGTTGCCTCCAGTTGATTGTTCTCAGTTTTCTCATTTTAAAACAGAAATATGCATTCAATGATCCTGTTTGCTGCCTTTTTATATTTTGAAAATAGTGGCTTTATACTTTTATGTTAACAGAGAAAAAGACTTTTAGATTTGGTTTAAGTCTAAAAAATTTAACTTCCCTAAACCCAACAAAGCTCTGCTATTCAGACTAAACTCTGATAACATCCAGAATCAGCTTGCAAACTATTGCCGTCACCTTTTCATTCCTAACTTCTTCTTGTTTGGATGGTAAATGGTCTGTACACATTCAAGGGATCTTCTATATGCAGCTCTTTATCTATGCACAATTTATACATTGCCTATACAGCCATCAGGTGCAATTTAGGGCTCAGTGTCTTGCCCAAGGACTCTTAAGAATGCAAATCAAACCAGCGACCTTTTACTTAGTGTGTGACCCGCTCTACCTCCTGAGCCACAGCGGCCCCAAGGGAAAATTTAATGTTTGAACTGACACAATCTTTTACAGTCTAATTGCAAAATACTGTGAAAAGACATTCAGTTGAACCTATTGCCTGAAACCTCCTCAGCATGTGGAGAACACCAAAGCCAGTGCCTTGCTCAAGGGTCTATCAACAAGTCAGTGGCACTTGAAGTGAGCCTATTCTTGTTCTTGTTGTTCTATTACTTGTCTGAAGTGAGGGGGAAATGACCAATCGTGACCAAAAATAATGATAAGTAAAGAGAAGGGGAAATACACAACAACATAATAATCCAGTTTTCATGTGACACTCTTGACATGACACTTTGCTGTGATTAAGATTTTAAACAGTATCTCCGGGAACGGGCTGCACCCTGGGAGTTGAGCCGAACATAAAGCAATTGAAAACTGTGCTGTAGTGAGGAAAGCTCCCCTCTAATTAAAAAGAGACTTGCAGGAGAAACAGCTAGCTCAGTTATGCTGTAATAGCAGGATGAGAGTCAGGAGAGCACGCTCTGGAAAACCAGTAAAGGTGAGTGGCTGCTGTGGCCAAGGCAGCAGTTCAATGCTAGAATCATCAAAGGGGCGGGGTTGGTGGTGGTGGTGGTGGAGGAGGGGACAGGATGTGTTAGGGTGACTGATGGATTCCAAATTGCCTAATGACCTGATCTGAATTCAAGCACAGGTAGTATATCTGCTAGGCATTTCATTTCCCAGGGGGGGGGCACCGGAGCCATCAGGTAAGTGTTGATGAGCAAATGGAAAAGGTCCGGGATCGATCAGACTTTGTCCGTCCCACGAGACCACACGGCAATTGCTGTTTGGCTGAACTTCTGCTTCACCTTGATCAATTCTACTGGCGGACAGCACAGAGGAGATGTGATCAGTTAAAGGCACTTAAAGTGTAATGCTGTACAGTGGCTAATGTGCCACCTCGACAAGAAAGACTCTTCATATTTATGTATAGCTCATGAATCCTTCCTCCTCCATGTTAGTGCACGGGACATATAATATACTGAGTAATCAAAGTACACAAGTCATTTTTCTTTATATACAGTCTGTGTTCATCAGTCCAGACACAGAGCTTGACTGTCTTCGTGTTTATTCATGAATTATTTATCCTGATTGGTGCTGAGGTAGAGCAGACAAGAGTCACCAGTGAATACAGGAAATACCCTCAGAGAACTGTGCGACCTGATCAGCTGTCAGGTGGAAAACCAGCTGTGACAATAAATACCACACACACACAGTTTTACAAACACAATCTATGATTTTTAAAAAACAGTAATCCAATTAACTTTTATGAACCAACCAGTAGTAGCATTCTTAATTTCATTGCACTCTGTCCAGATGAGTGACAATAAAGGCTTTCTATTCTATTAAAATGTGATGATATGTCAGTGTTTACAACTTGTGTTTACTGCCATCACTGCCCAAGACCTTATAAAGTATTCATCAATTTGACAACTGCATTACATCTGGGCAACCTCCATCACGTGACATGGTGGTAACCTCTAAATGGATCCTGCTGTGGTTAGATTTTATTGTCAGCTTGAATGAAATAATATTTATATTACATTATGTTATATTATATAAGCTATAGCTGTGACATGGAAAACTGATTTCTCTGTTGCTAATTGTTCTGTGAGGAGGTAGCCCACTGCTGATTTTCACCCAGTGGCAGACATTAGTGAAACCTTCTCTCTCTCATTCACCACCAGATGACTTCAGTGGGGCTTTTATTGACGTCGATGTGTTTGTTGGTTGGCAGAAACTGGGTTGATTCTTTTCACAGCTTGGAAGCAGACACCAGTTAACACCTGTTGTGTTTGGGTCAAATGTGACGCAGTATGAAGTTGTTTAAATTGATTTTTTTTTGTTTTGTTCACTGACTACAAAGGAACACATTTGTAAATATATTTTTCTTTAAATGCAAATAAAACATTATATCTGTTGTGTTCTGGGACTTGTAGTTGGAGATCAATGTTGCCTAACCATCATGAATAACAAAATATCAACAGATTAAAAATAATAGCAATATTAATAATATTAAAATCAATACAACAAAGGCAACATAATATAATTCATAGGTTATATTTACATTTCACTGGTTGATAAAAACACAAAGGCGAGTGCTTGACGTACATAAACACAGAGCATCATGTTGTGTCATTGTGTTTGTGCATGTCCTCCAAGTCCTCAGCGTGGAAGCTTCCCAGAGGTGGCACTTTGATTGGTTTATTACATGTCACCAAACATCATCAATGATTAATTAAGAGACTAAGGAGCTTGTAACCATTTTCAACCATGAGCTGCATTCAGATGTGTAAGCCTGCTGCTTGTATCATCTGCCTTGGAAGGTTCACAACACCTGGAGACCAAAGGAATACGTAGATGTATCCATACAGTGAACTTTGCATTGTCTTTTCTGCCCCAATACTTGTGATTGGTTGATACTCTTCAAATTGTTCGACTGTTCTTGAGCCTGTCTTTGTTCTAAAGATAAAAAAAATACCCATGAGATTCAATATTGTCTCACCTGGCCACCCCCTGTGCTGACACCCATGCAAATGCGCGGCTTTGACGTCGGCGCAATAGAGCACCCTGGGCTGTGAGGAGGGGATCAGAGAGAGTATAAGATGTGTGCACAAAGCCAGAGCTCGCACACACACACACGAACGGATACACGCGCATATGCAGCCGACCCCTGGCTGAGGTACCACTCTTCTTCTTCTCCTCCTCCTCCTCCTCCTCCTCTATCTGGATCAGCATCCTCAACTCTTTTCATGCAAACCTCTCTGATTCTTCACAGTCTTTGGAAAGTCTCTCTCAGCCTCCTCTAGGACACACTTTGCTCAACTCTATAGAGCCTGATTGCGTGAGCAAGTTTTCCGCGCCACGGCCGCAGCGGACAGAGCCACAGCGAGCGCGCAGCATGGAGCCCTACACGGTCCCCGGAGCTCAGCTCTCCCTGTCCGACCTCTACTCCGTCATCCCCTTCAATGTCACCTTCCCGGACGAGCAGAGCGGCTTGTTGGGCGACGACCGGCTGCAGAACTACACGGAGCGGCAGAGCCCGGCGAGGAGCGCCGGGGGGATGATCATAGCCATATCCATCACGGCGCTCTACTCCGTCATTTGCGTGGTGGGACTCCTGGGCAACATCCTCGTCATGTACGGGGTGGTCAGGTAAACACTGCTTGTATCACAGTCTTTGGGTTTGAGAGATTTTGAGAGGAGCTGCAGAGCCCAGAATGAAATGTGAAACTCGCCCTCACGCGCTCCAGATGTTGCCATGGTGTTCTTATCATAATAACCCTATAATAATCACCCATGACAAAAATTTTAGTATTGCTTTGCTTTGTTTAAAAAAAAAATCTATTTCTCTTATTTATATAAAAGTACTGAAAATAGCCCCAAACAAATGGCTTCTATTTCATCGAAAGGTTTGAAAGATGAAATTAACTTCAACTCTTTCTGACAGCGAGTCTACATAGAAATAGTGTATAGCTTTGTTTAGAAACCAGTAAAAATTAGCATAACCTTGTAGAATAGATATGTCCTCATTAACTAAAATCAACATTAACTGCACCAACTGTATTTTTCCCCCCTCACCTTTTCAAGGTTTCATCCATATTACTCTCTCTCTCTCTCAATGTGTGTGTAGAGAAGATAGAGTATTAATTGTCCCTGCTTGCATTGCTGGCTCCTGCCTTCTATTTTTGTGCATTGTGTGCATGTCCCAAACAAGAGACCCAGGGTTCCCTGCAGAAGGAATGGAATTGTTTTTGAATTATTTCTGCATCGAGCGACAACATGTGCAAGTTTTATGCAGAAGGTTGGTCGAACCTCTCATCTCAGTCTCTCAATTCAGTCTGACCGTACTGCGCCTTGGGCAAATAGGGCTGCTTGAAACAAGTGCCACCTTTAGCTCACTCCGATGTGTGGACCATCAACTGTGCACTCCTGTGCTGGTTTGATGGGATTGTTGGCTCTCTTGCTATGAATTAAAGTCTATGTCATGTGCTGGCCTCCTTTTTGGCTCATAAATTGTAATAAAGCAGACCATAAACCCATTTTTAAATTGAATGTGTTATCTTTTGGCTCACATTAGTAGTGATGGTGGTTTTCTTGAAATATGGTCTGTGTTGACACACTTTCTGGTGTAAATTGATTTTGTTCATAAGTGGATGTTTGCAGCATAATTTCTTATCCAAGGTTACAGTTTGCCCTCCCCATTCAGCTTTAATATAATAAAGCCTGCACCCACTTTTCCAGCAGATACAAGCACCCTGTCATTTGCCAAGAAGTCCCCCAGCCCTAACCTGTAAGCTTGTCAGAAATAAAACACCTTATACATTTTGCAATAGCTCTGCTTGTCCTCTGTCATCATGGCAATTACCTGCTAATCTCAAACATTCCCCGTGTTCCCCCAATATCACCTGAAGCGTTAATTAGTCCAGCCATGCCGGAGAATTAAACAAGCAGGAAGAAAGGATGGTGGTGTTTGTTTCAATATATACAGTGCAGTGAGTGACAAGGGAGTACAAGGCAGAGGAAACAAAGAAAAGCAAAGTAGCCTACAGGAAAAAGGGAATGCTTTTGAGGCCAAGCTTTAGATACAGAACCAAGAAAAATTCATAAATATTCTAAACTCGTTCCCGTTATTTTCTTTCAAGAAGTCGGAGTGAAAATGGTGTGCAGGCCAGGACAAATGAGATAAGGCAGAAAAGAGGGAGTGATGGAGATAAAAAGGAGACAAAAAGGAGAATGATGGGAGCTTGGGAAAAGGCAGTGAATCAGTGCACAGCGCTTCGCCTGGCATTTGTGTTTTGTGTGAGTGAGAGGACTCTTCAGTGATACCAGAGAGAGGCAGAGCTGAACACATTAACCATCCTGGTCAGAATGAATTATCTGCAGTGGAACAGCTGCTTAGCTTAGACAGCGAGTTTAGACAACAAACCTGTGACACAGATGCAGTGATGCGAAGCCAAAAATTAAAACAACTGACTTGCACATGGTAAAATCATTCATCTTCCTGTCGTGTCATCATGTGCTATGGTGCACACTGTTGATTTGTTCACTGGATTTAATCTACGCTACCCTCATGGTAACGATAAATCATGACGTCTGAGGCAAAGTAACAAATTTCAATCCTACTACTATACTTTGAGTCTAGTGACACCTGTTGATACTGGTGTTAGGAGCAAGTTAGGGATGATACCCCACCAATGAATGTATAAAGATGCAGCCAAAAAGTGTACACTTCCTCCTTCTGTTCAAAAATGCAAATTACCCTGCATGGTTGCAGGTTCTGTCATTCTCAGTTTTCAATCATGACATCTTTCAGCTTATATGCAGCATCTAAAAACTAATACAACTACTAGTGGTGCACCTGATCATAGAATTCAGGGTTTGGATCAGATCACGGCTTTAGTTTTGCATCAGATGATTTTTTTGGATCAGCAGTTTCACAATGAACCAAAAAAACTACACTTCTTCTTCCTTATAGAGCTGTCTGCAGCGCTATTTGTCTCATGCACCCTCGGTCTCACATTCTCATGCTGTCGTCCATAAAGTTTTTACTGTCCATGGAGACAGTCAGACCTCATAGTTTCAGCTGAAGCTGGGTTCGTATCCGCGAGTGGTATTTAGTGTAGTTCTCTGTCACTTGTGCTCTTTTGCACATGAGAGCAAACTGTGTGAGCCTCTAGGTGCACCCATGTTACTGTCACAGACTGAATCAATAATGTAGGAAACACTGGTCCTGCCCTGTCATCAGTATATTTAATTGGGAAGCCAAAATGCTGCAGTGATTAAATGATGGGGGAGGCTTCTCTTCTATTATTCCTTTAAAAAAGTGACAGCAACAGTAAAACTTTATTTATATGTAAACTCTACAATTTTTTTGTTCGAGCTTTAGTATTGTGTAGATTTGTTGCTGTCCTTAATCTGAGTTGAGAGCAAACTGAATACTCAATGCTCCTCAATCAAAACGAGAAATATGAAGAATAGGGTTTTGGTGTATTGTGACAGGCTCACCATTAATAAAGGAGAAACTATGTTCAAATACACATAAAATAAAGGAAATGTTGAGTTGGATCACTAATTTGATTTCTATTAATGAATCTGAGAGTGTCTTGTAATGAAATTTGTATTGATAATAGCTTCACAGATTAATCATAGACCAGAATTGATCAATTTTCTGATCATTACTTCAGTTATTCGAATTAATACTAACTCGACAGCCCATTAGACAGCACCCTGCTTTGATTTCATGCCAGCCACATCAGGCAGTTTATAAATATAGCAAGGATTATATATTTTGGATATTTCCCTCCACTTTGATTCTTGGATACTCGAGACACAACCCCCATTCATAGCAGCATGTGAATGGATGCTCATGCCAATGTGGTTTGGGCAATGGGTTGCTGTGACACAGAGTGCCCTCACTCTGATTGCTGATGGAGAGGCTGACATGGACCACTCTGGAGATGGTCCACTCTGTCACGCAGGAGAGGTCAGCAGCACACGGCTCCACTTATCTCCCAGCAATCCCCTACCTCGCCTCCCATTCCTCATATCACACCTATTAGATAGGAACTGGCTCAGTGCTCATGCAATTTATTGTCAAGTGGTCCCCATTTGAAATCAATTTGATGCACAGCTAGTGGAGGGATGGATTAGTGAATGAAAGTGGATATTTAAATGATTGCTGCTCGTAGACCAAGCAAGGCAGCAAACCCTGGACATCGCTTTTATGCTGGACATCAGTGGTTATATAGTAACAAAGACAAAAGCTAAGGTTAAAGCAGGAGTTAAAAAGCTTCTGAGCGACTGAAAGTGGAATTTTGAAAACAGTTGCGAGTATCTGTGTCTGTATTTCCTGGGCTGAGTCAACATGTCCACAGCGTCTTCACTGCCTGTCTTCGATCTCAACCAGCAGTATGTCATTGTGTGTGAGTGGTTTGTCCGTGTGTGACCATCAGCCCTGGAAACGGGGGAGCTGAGCTTGACTTAAACGAGCGCTGACAGGATCGATGTAGTCAGATCATGTAGTGTACCAGCAGTCGGCATAGAGGGATCGTGACTGATCTAAATGCAAATGCTAATTATCTTTTAAATGAATGTGAATATATTAGGGAGGACCCAAACCAACATTGGACAGTGAAAGATATCACATATTGTTTTCTTCCTTTCTGTTTCTCTTTGACTTGATGAATTGGTTTCATGCTTATCAGATTTATTTTTCTTCGCTTATTACAGATATTAAGTAATTCACTCCCAGAGGGCTTAGTACATTTTTTTTGGGAAATAACTGATTAAATTAATCACTTATTTCCATTGTGAATTTGTAAAACTTTGGGTTGCTGACGGTGTGTTGCCTGCTGACCGACAGAAACTAACAGAGGTGGCATGGTACATCTATGAACTATTACTTTATCAGTGTTAAAAGTGAAAATTCACTCATTATCTACTCTCCACTATGCAGGTGGAGGGGTGGGTAGGGTGTTGGGGTCCACAAAACACTTCTCAAGGGTAAACTTTGTTTACAATTGAAGTGAATGGTGACCTACACCTCAGATGCAATAAAACAGAAAACAATTGCCTCAATACTGCTTGTGTGGTGTCATCCAAGTATCTTCCGACCAGGTGCATTCAGGGACCCTCAGACACACCATCGTGTGACTAAGTCCGCTAGCTTAGCCACTTTCAGTGGACTTTTAGGCTTAAAACATAGTGTAAAGATGAACACGAAAATACACTGTGTATAGATACATCTATCTCATTATCTTATTATCATCGGAATTTGGGTGAAAAGAAGTCATAGCCAAGGTGAATGATTAAAACTAATAAGTTAAATTACTCAAGTTGTACTTTTGGAGACGTTTTATATTTTCGGCCAATTTTTAATTATTTGTTTAACTATATTATTTGTTTGGACACATTGGATCGACATAGATAACCTCCCTTGCAACCCTTGCTGGTTAGTGGGTATTTCCATTGTGCTGAGCTAGTGGTATTTGATTAATGATGAGCTGAATGGACTCTGATCAATGACATTCCATCTTGGTGAACAGGCAGAAATCTTTCACATGTTCTTGCCTTCAGAGACCAGAGGTCAGGTTGGTCAATACGTTTTTCTGTCAGTGGAAGATCCCTGCTTGTTTAGACATGAAGGCCAGGGAGCCCTATATCAAATGGTAGTTTGCAGCCTTTTTGTTTTTTTAACCAGATGCAGGTAAAGCTTCAATGTCCATACTAACCCTTGTTTACTCAAGGGAGGTTGGAAGAGCTTTGCGATGGAGCTGGATATGCTATGTGCAGGCCTGCCCTGTCAGCTTGGATTAGGCAGAGTGGTAAGCGATGTCTTTTGAATCACGATTCACTTATGCGCGTGACTTGGATCATAAACATAATCCTCTCACCGTGTTAAAAGGCGAGCTTTAGGTGCTCAATCAAAGGCTTCAAACAAATTGAGATCCAAAACTTAACAGAGAGCGGTCTTTGTTCTGCGTATGAGGCAATAAAAGAGTTTTGATATTGTCTGATGATATTTTATGTCCAAGTGTTTCTGAGCAAATGCTGTTTTTTAATGTTGTCCATGGGTTCAAAGCTTTGCATTAATATTTGCAGACACACCTTACAAAATGATCAAAAGCTCTGTCCTGTCTTTTGCTTTAAGTGGAACCATAATACAGGCATCAGGTTAGATAAGTATATATATATATATATAAACATGCAAGGGAATTGGAAGCAGCCATCTGCTGCTGACTTCACTGTTTTAATTTTTCTTTTTGTCCAGATTGAAAAATTGGCAAAAATAAATAAGTAGAGCTGAATTCATCCTCCACCATTGATATGTATTCGAAATCTACATAAAATGGGGCAGTTGAATTGGAGGTGCTGGGAAAGAGACATGAGGCAAATGCTGTAGTGAGGTGAAATTGAGTTAAAAATGGCACCCCTACCTGGAGTCTTAACTCACTCAAACCCAAACACATAAACATCAAAATCACTTAGTAGGAGTAATCACTTTCTCATTATATCATAACATGAGGTGTCCGTTGTGAATAAACATCCTTAACTCTGCTTAAAAATTGTAGAGAAATTACTTTCCAGAACATTCCTCATAATCATCAGACCATTGATGAGCTGTTGATATCCTGTTTGCTTAATTATCAAACATTTAACACAAGTTTTTGATGTGTTAAAGGTAGTTTTGGTAAGTTATCTTATTTGTTGAAATCCTCTTTACGTCCCGATAGCCATCAATAAATAAAGACACCAATCATTTCACAGACACCCTCCCCATGATCTCACTGCACATGACCTGAGTGCTAAGCCAGAGAGACACACACTTATAAAGCAGGGAGAATGGCTAGAAGTAAATGAGGGTGTCATTTTAAAACGCAGCCTTCTTTTGCTGGCTTGTCCAGGCTCATCAAGGAAAACTGGAAGGATGACACAATAAGTGTCATGAATTGCTGAGTCAGTTTTTTTCAGAGAGACTACAGAAGTCAGATGTTAAAAGGTCACACCTTGACTATTGATTATTGTCATGATTTGATTTACGTGTTTTTTCCATGAAAGGTTGAAATTGTGACACAGTGCAATGAAAACAGTTTCAGCAGAGAAATAATGGCCTACATGAAGCATGTTGCTCCACCGAGGAGATGTTCAATCAGCACTGCAACAACCTGCGTGGAGTGACAAGACTGTAAATCTGCCTCGGAGGAATAGATGGAGCAAACATAATTATCCCACTGAGGTCATGTCTTCACTGTTTTAGGTTGGACTGATCCTGTCTTGATGACACCTTCTCATTACACACTCGCCAGTGATTTAGTGGCATCAGACTGGAGGATAGCACCACCCACTGTTTATCTAGACGCCCTCACCTCCTAATAGTCTGACAACAATGCTGTATAATCAGCATTTTCTTGAGCAGATTTTCTGTAAATCTTCTGAAATCAGTGACAGAGAACTCAAAACTGCCTCAGCTGTGTTTCCTGCTATGGTGTCTCCTCCTTCACATATGGCCATGATAAAACACACTTTGTGTCTTGCCTCACTCTGTGCATGTATTTCACGGTGTGCATGAGAGCATGCTACATGCATATTGTTTGACTGAGCTCACTGACATATGCAACCCCCCCCCCCCGCCCCCGATCCTCTATCTGCCTGTTTCTATTGATCACTGCTTGACATGGTTGATCGTTGGGGTAATTTATTCTTAAGTGTAACTTAACTGTCTGAGTTTAGGATACGGTGTTGATTCAAGCCAAATTCAGCAAACCTGGTTTCATTTATTGTCTGCAAAGGACGAGTTAAATGATTACAAGTGTCTCTGTGGAGTCTGCGTTTGTGTGTTTGGTTATAAACGAAACCCCCTAGTTCCAAAAAATGCCGCCCCTTCCCATCACTATCACGACCTACGCCCTCAGATTATTGCTTATATAGCCCCTGTGAAAAATGACCGGCAGAAAAATCAATATACAGATCCATTTAGACATCGGGGATGGGTGTATTCTAATGGAATAGAACAATAAAGATTGAATCACTGTTATGAACGTTAGGCTGTTTCTTTTTCTCTTTTTGCCATCAAAATGTCAGATGCATTAATCATCGTAGAATGTGCTGTCCTTTTTAATTCAACCCATTTTTTTATCATTCATTTACAAAGTAGAAGGAAATAATAACTGTGTGCAATTCTATATGGTATAATATACAGTGTGCATCCAGTGTGATAGGCAGTGGACAATATATAGTATATTATACCTCTTGGTCCCTCATGTTTGCCCTTTGTGCCTCTGGGCAGTTTGCAGCTAATGTGATTGGATTGTGTTTGGATGTCCTAATTTATCCCCTAGAAAATCAGCTGAGATTTATATACAGGATAGAAAATGCCTACACATTTTGTGATGAGGGATTCCAGTGTGAAAATAGGCCTCACACCCCAGAGGAGATTTCTAACCCCAATAAATAAAATAGGATGAGTGCTGCTGACCATTACTTTTTTGTCTCTCTTCCAATTTGGCACACACACACACAGCTGTCCCACAATAAAAGCACAATCCAGCACATACAATATACAGTATATGAATTTGATAGCCGGAGTATTTTCTTTTCACAGCTCTCTGGTGCTTTCCCTACAAATAAGCTGCTTGATCAAAAGCCAACAAACCCAATTGTAACCATTATCTCCAATCACTCATTTGAAAAAAAAAAAGTAAGCTGTGAGGAATTAGCATAAAAAAGCTGTACAAAGCTGTACATTCACAACTCTGCACTGCATATTTATAGCACAAGGGACTAAACTCTTCATCTAAGCCACTTTCAAATTCCCACATCCCATCACAGAAACATTCATACCCAGCTGCTCTCATTACCACAGCTCCTTATCGCTAATGCTTTTTTTCCTTTGCACTGTGCTCACAACTAGGTACACCAAGATGAAGACGGCCACAAACATCTACATCTTCAACTTGGCTCTCGCCGATGCCTTGGCCACCAGCACGCTGCCTTTCCAGAGTGCCAAATACCTCATGAACACCTGGCCGTTTGGGGAAGTCCTGTGCAAGCTCATAATTGCCATTGATTATTACAACATGTTCACAAGTATCTTCACCCTCACCATGATGAGCGTGGACCGCTACATCGCTGTGTGCCACCCCGTCAGGGCGCTGGAGTTTCGTACACCAGTCAAGGCCAAGCTGATCAACGTGCTCATCTGGGTGCTGTCGTCAGCAATTGGGGTTCCCATTATCATCATGGCTGTGACTAAAGTGGCAGACAATGGTGAGACTGTATTTTCCTCCTTTGTCTTTTTTTTTTTTTTTTTTTTTAATTCAGCCTCAGGTGAGAGCTGATTTTATATGACTCACCCAAGTGCTGGAAAAGGGTAATTACCGGTTGAAAAGATCTATGAAACGTTCATGAGAGTGTACATGGCACACAAAGGAAAAGCAAGAACAACCGCAATTATGAATCCACTCCCACTCATGGTCCCAAAGTGATCCATTGTGGATAATTTGGACCATTGCTCAGAATCAAAAACCTTCCATTGGAACTGCACTACTTTTGTGTATCAGGCAGTGTCACAAAAACTCACTGATGCCTTTCTTGATTCTTGTGAGAGGAAATATCCTACCAGTGTTCACCTGCCAGAGGCTGATCAACTGAAAAATGTACTTTTTGAAATACTATTCAACCGACCATAGAGCTGAGTGAGTCAACTTTTCTTATAGATCAAGAGTTTTGGCATGGCTGCAATGGGACCATGGGAGAGTACTAAATTAGGGCTAGATGCATTAAGAATATTTTGATATAGGTATATATTTTAATTCATATACTTTGTTGAAAAAAAATCAGATATGCTTAGGGGACCGATATGTATGAGATTGTGCAATGTCGTGCTGAACCAAACAAAATTTCAGTTCTAGTGATTTTAAATGTGGTTTCATGAGGCGACTGTTGGACCTTGGCGGTGTTATTCACTGTCTGAATGCCCCTCTTATAAGTTTTTACTTTGCCGGTCTCTAGTGCTTTACTCAACAATGTAGCAACAGCCTGACTGCACTAGCTTCCGTGATTCAGTCTAATGTAGCTTTTGTTGTGTGAAGTGTGTCTCTCCTGGTGGAAGAGATAAGTACCAGCACATCATTGCTGCAGCCTCAAAGAAGTGGATATACCATTAGAAGTAGTCATTACTTAACTCAGCCCTAGATCCGTTTGTAGTATAGTAGATACAGAAAAGAAAGACAGGTGTGATAAGAGCTACACTAATCCTGTCTGAACCTGAGAGAGCGAGATTGTCCTCCACCTAACTAAATGAAAATACATCAAACAATGTACATCCAGTGCCAATGTTCTGAGCCAGTGCAGGAGACAGTGTGCCATTTATGGAGCAAAGTGTGATATAACTCTCAGTGGGCACTACTGACCAAACTGAGAAATTGAGGAAATCCTTCCTTCCAAACCATTTTGATAATAGACTCTGATGGCTTAGTAGTCAATCAATAACAACAATCAGGCAGTGATTGGTTAGGTAAAGTTAAAGTTAGGGGAATAAGCAGCTTTGGAGTGTGTCCCTTAGAAACTGCTTTTCCACTTAGTATAATTATTATTTTACCATACCATGAATACCTCCCAGGAAAGACAATGGAAAATCCTAAAAACATTAACTTGTCTCCAGTTATTGCCAACTTTTCACTTGAGGTTTTTCAAATTAGACATTGTAAAGAGTCATTCCTTTCAAGCATTACCCATAGTTTCTCAGCATTAATAGTGTTACCCTACATTAACTAATTCTGCCATCTTTTCCAGGTAAAACCATGTGCATGCTGAAGTTCCCTGACCCAGATTGGTATTGGGACACAGTGACTAAGATCTGCGTCTTCATCTTTGCTTTTGTGGTTCCTGTAATGGTCATCACCATCTGCTACGGCCTGATGATCCTTCGTCTGAAGAGCGTTCGTCTGCTTTCAGGCTCCAAAGAGAAAGACCGCAACATGCGTCGCATCACCCGCATGGTGCTGGTGATTGTGGCTGCCTTTATCATCTGCTGGACCCCCATACACATCTTCATCATTGTGAAGACCATGGTGGAGATAGACACCAGGAACCCCCTGGTCATAGCCAGTTGGCACCTGTGCATTGCTTTGGGCTACACCAACAGCAGCCTCAACCCTGTCCTCTACGCATTTTTGGATGAAAATTTCAAGCGATGCTTCAGAGATTTCTGCCTCCCCTGTCGCACCCGTGTGGAGCAGAACAGTCTGAGCAGAGGCCGCAACACCACCCGGGAGCCTGTGTCCATCTGTGCTCCAACAGAAGCACGGAAAAAGCCAGCATGACTAGGCATGGACTCGGTCCCCCATAGCTCTCGCTCAAGGAGGATCCAACAAGATCTGCAATCAGAGGAAACTCAGATCTCCACAACAGAGTTTTGAAATATCTCGACAACAGAGTTTTGAAATATCTCCACAAGAAAAGCTATTTAAAAGTAAATAAAAGCATCAAAATACAGAACAGCTAAGATAAGATAGTGGAAAATTTGTTTCACTCAGATCTTTTTCTATAAAAGTTCTGATAACAAGTGGAATCTTTCTTCACACAGGAAATGTGATGCAGTGACAGAAGATGGAAAGTAATAACCCGAAGAGTAAATTGATGAAACCAGGCTGCAGAAGAGAAAATCTCCACCTCCATGATTTGTCTATATCTATAAGTCCATGCTTGGAGATTGCAGGACATTTTGATGATGAAAAACGAGACACAGGTTTCTGTCTTGTCAAGCAACGAATGCATCAGAAGATACAACCCATCAAAGAGCATTGTACTGAACCAGACAGGCTCTGTCAAGATGAATCTTGTGCAACAGTATAAAACAATGGCCTTTTGAAGTCAGACCTTTTCATTCCTTTTAAGAAACACTTGCCTGTACATTCAAAGAAGCAAATCAGATTTTAGTGAGTACCTTGAAGGAAAGCAACACATCAGAAAGAAAACTTTACATCAACACAAAACAAACAAGCCTAAAAAGATGAGCTTTTCTTTCTTTTTTCCTCTTTAGCCCAGGGATTGGGAACTTTCTTCTGATCAAGAGCCATTTCAACTTTAAAAAAATTATCTGATTCATCTGACATCTGATGTCAAATGGTAGTGATGATGCTTTTCCCTGCTGGATTTAGGCAAAACTATTTGCTCAAAGGCCATAGAGAAAAACTGGTGCACGCTGTCCTTTGTGTTTTTTCAATATCCTGTGCCATATCAGTAATTCACCCTTTAGAAAAATGTGACTTTGTCAGGTTCTAGCCTCGGACCAGCAACACGGCTAGCTGTTAGCTAAACTTGCCGAGATTCGCCGTCTTCACAACATTTTGCTTCATCTTTTTTCTTCTTGACATTTGCCATGGTCAGTGATGACACATAACAGAACATGTGTGTTTTGTTACTCTGACTGTGAGCTGACAGGCATACAGCCAGATGGGACCACCCTGAAGGACTATTCGTTTATGTTGTTTTCTTTTGTCGCAGAAGAAATAGCTGTCGTGATTTTTTTTCCTGTATATTTTGTATTCATGAGATGCCTTGCTGGCCGGATCAAACTGTCTCGCAGGCTGTATGTAACCTGTTGGCTAAAGATTCTCCGTTCCTGCTTAAGACTGATGTAAATGTCTGCTACCATCAATTGTGTTGATAGAGAGATTAGGAGCTAAATGTTCCATAGATTTGAAAATGTCTGTCACGAAAGGCATGGGATCACAATCAAGCCTACTTATTGGAGTTTTATGCTCTGATGGAGAAATCGACAATAGCACCAAACCAACGACGCCTGGATTTCTTTGAACTTCTTGTCTGTTCACCTGTTTGGCTTGCATGGAGGGTGTCGGTCCCAAAGAGAGCATCCAAGCAGAATCACTGCAGAATGATAAACCTGCCACTGAAGAATCCTGTTGGCTCCCACAACACTTGACTCCTTATTGGATTAATTTTTACATCAAATATAGTCAAAGAGCATCGACTGAGAGCAGCTCCTTCAAAGCGCTGATAAAGATGCCTGTCCTGATGTCTGCAAACAAACTGCTTCAAGGAGAGTATCGCTCTGCCATTTGAATGAGTAAAATCATCTGTCTCACTGAAAATATGTAACAGATTGAAGAGATTAACCAGAGGGGTAATTTATCTACTCCAATGAATCACTTTATAGACATCAATCACTAGGTGCTGTGAAGTTAATGACCATTTCATCTTTGCATAACAGAGGAGTCAGCAGTATTAATGCCTGTTGATTGGTGGTGCGCTCATGTGCAACTATTTTAAAGGCTAAATACAGTTGTGTTGACAGGTAAACACATTATGTTAAATACATGTTATAAATTCAAAAAGGTCAATAATAAAATATTGTGAATATGATATGAAGCTTTTTCATTTTAACAAATTTGTGTTCAGCCAAAAGACTTAAAGATCAACCTCTGATTGTGTGTGCTTTCTTTACACTAGATTTAATTAATTCAGTGCAGTGCATTTAGCTCATGAAGAAAAAGGGAGAACTAAGGGAAGGAAGATTCAGCAGATTCAGATTGCTTGTTAACTCCAGAGTTACCAACAGAGTCAGAGGCAGTAAACATTTGCTTTTCTGTGTGGGGCAGGAGATTGGCTTGTGATGCATTCCTAAATATTTTTCTTACAATGACAGTGGTGATTTAAAGTTAAATATACTGTATATACCTGCTCTCTGCTTAGCTTTAAAATGTGCTGCCGCTGTCAGGTGGGATATCCCAAATTATTTTTGCAAAATTAAACTAATAAAGGAATATATAAAAATAATTTTCCAAACAAAAAATACAAGTCATTATTTTTGGGGGGCATCTGATTAATTGATGGTTTAAAATAACTATATTCAACAACATGCTTTTAGAGTATGATTAAAGTGTGTGAGTGAGTGTGTATAGATTTTCTTTAGAATTATCACATGGGGATGACAAATTCAAAATGTGTGTGTAATTTTTCATCAAATTGTAGATATAGAATTAGCCTCGTTGTTGATTATTTGTCATTCTTCAATGTTCAAATTGTTTTGGTTACTGGATACTGAATTTTCTGTGTGGTTGAGTTCAAACAGAAAATTCAGTAAAATTTCACCACCTCGTTGCACAAAGTGACAATAACAAAGTAGCGGAGGCATCCCAGTGTTACAATCAATGCCGGACATCCAACGCTGACTTAATGGCTGCAGAGATTACAAGCACTCTCTTCCACACCTGAGGCCATTCAGTAATAAAGCTCATCTCCTGCAGCTGTCATACCCTCTGACCTTCACTATCATGAAATATGGAGGAGAAAACAGCAGCCAAACAAGCTGCAATATCAAAGCATTTCCCAAATTACCCCCTAAAACCCATGTTTTTTAATGCCAGGACAAAATAAATTAGACTCATCAGGCAAGCGGCCATCAAAATTGATTACTAAAATATTCTTTATAATGAGATTTAATTCAGTGAATCACTCACTCGAACCTTCACCAGAGCTTATTTGTGTGCAGAGTATGAAAGAGCATTTGAAAAGCATTGTAAAACATTGACGGGAAAAAGCTCACTAGGTTAAGAAAAATTTTATATTTTTGTTTGTTCTTCAAATTCTTTTTGCATGGTCACTGTAGGGTGAAGGCTGTGGTTATGGCAACCCCAACACAGGATCTGTCTTACAACAATTGCAAAGCAAACATTGCTTTATATGTGAATATGAATAATGTGCTTATATGTGAAACTTGGAAACAGGGTCTGGTTTTTCTCAATTACCCCATGAATGTTTGTAGACACCAGTGTGATTTTCTGTAGTTACTCATTAAAGCCTTGTTTTATCATGTTCCATTAATTAGGTTATTGATGAATGACACTGTGTGGATAAGGTGTGTGGGAGGGGAGGTAGCGCAGCAGAGGCTGTTGCTCAGAGGAGCTACTGATTACATCAGTGTTAATGATATTACTGATTGCATCTTTAATCTGTCTCCTCTGCTGTCACATTCTTCTTTTCAGTTCTTTGTAATTGTAATATTGAGATCAAATGTTTTGCCATTTTTCTATTCGCTATACCCTGTAAACTCAATACTGAAAAGCTTGTGTGAATATAAATAACTCTACATTTGTGTAAGATGCTAATTTTCTGTAAAACCAATGACTGCAGTACAGTGTGTAAAGCAATGATGCTGATAATACTTGACATTATATTCTTTCTTTTGCTGTGTTAGCTTCTTCTTGTGTATTTGTTGTAATAAAAAAAACATTTGTAATGTTTAAAGCATAACTCAGATTGTTGGCAAAAATTTAATAAAATGAAGCAGACAGAAAAGTTGCATGAGCTCTCTTTCTCTTTTTTTTAAAGCTTCTGGTTTGGTTTCCTGGAAACTAGTGGGAGCAGGAAAGCATAATATTTTCTTGACAATAATTGGATCATAATGGAATAATCTATCTTGCAACACCATAATTCAATTGAAAAGTAAAGAGTGCTTCAGAGTCCGTCGTCGTTACATGGAATTGCTATGTAAGGGAGAAAAACACAACGATGGCCTCGGGCTGCTGTGAGGGCCAGGGTGTGCTTTCCGCCATCTTCAGAAAATTAAGCATCCAACTCTGTCTATTTGGCAAATTCAGACCAGCATCCCATCACCATGGAGACCAGCAGCACCACAGAGTGCTCTGGTAGAATAGATGAAGAATTTCAATTTAATCACGGAAGTTTCCTTCACTACCAGCCACTTATCAATTACCCTGATTGCTCTATCCACAAAAGCAGAGAAGCATCCCTGCAGACTAACTGAGGGCTGGCCACTTTACCAGCCGAGGGGAAGGCTCATATCCTCACTGTGAAATTCAACAGTCGTTTAATGTATGTATTCTAATATATAGGATACTGGGCTGCTGCTGCTGTCATTGTATATCCCACGATCTTGGTGAAAAACCTTGTGTCATTAAAGTCAGATGTATCTGTCAGGTCACAAAGGGTACATATAGAAGCATGTGAAAAAGCATTCAGCTGACAAAGTATTTTTCTGTTGCCAAATAAAGCCTGACTAATGTTTTTGTTGATCGTGAGCAAGACGTTGGGCCCTTTCTTACACTTTGCACATGACACAAGTCTCATTGCTATAGTTTCAGACCAATGCAGTTGTTATTTTCCTATACATTTATAAATCAATTTGCATCCACACTTGCATCCCATCTGAGGCTCCATGGGTGTTTTGGTCTCAAAAGGAAGTGTGGTTAGGTGCACTGCCGGCACATTGCTTCACTATCTTGAGGCAGCGGAAGGTGATTGCATGGTTGACTAAAGTGAATCTGGTCTGAAGTCAGTGATTCTGTATTTCGCAGTATTTATGAAAATGTTACCAAAATAGTAATAAGCACCTACAAGGAATAGCAGGAATGTTTCAAGGGAATTTGGGGGACCCCTGCAAAAGAGAGCTAGCCCTAAACTGAACCAAACCAGACCTCTCATTCTAGTCTTTTAACCTAACCTTTCAATTACATACCCTGGTGTATTTGGAGACTCCTGTATATAGATGATTATAGAATTTTAGGGTTGTTCTCACAGAAGTAATAAGCCGCCCTCAGGGGCCCGTCTTATCTTTGGACCCCAGGCAGTTGTCTGTTCTACCTAAGCTGTTACAACAACCCTGAAGACAGGTGCAAAACACTCTTGCTTGTTTCATATACAGTCTTTCAGCAGCAATCTGCAGAGGATTTTAAAAGGGATGAAAGACCAACCTTTGTGAGCCATGAACCTACTGCAGCAAACTCTTTTCATGCTGATTTACCAATAAGGGTGGATTTGGACACGTCCTAAATCGACCTCAAATATTCTACAGCCATCCAGTAGCTCTGAAGGAGTACTTGTGCACAGCAGTGATTTGAGCTGAATTAAAAAAATGTTAGCATGTTGACATGCACATAATTACAATGCTAACAGGCTATGTTTAGTGTATAATGTTAACTGTCATCAGCATTTTAGCATATTAACATGCTTGCATCTGTTTATCTGGACAAAC